AACTACTGGATCCTGGAAGTTGGGGTGAATTGGCATGAGAGGTGCATCTTGTCTCATTTTACTCTCTCTCTCTCTCTCTCTCTCTGTGTGTGTGTGTTGAGGGGGAGCAATAAGGTGGTACTATGGATTGAATTTAGGATCTAAGATAGAAGCTCTGTCATTTAAGCCTCCAGTTTCCTTTTATATTGTTATTTTATTTTTTATTGTGAAAATACTGTACAGATGGGTTACAATTACATGGGCAAGATAATGAGTACATTTCTTATCAAGCATTATAGCCTCCTCCTTTGTTTCCCCTTCCCATCCCTTCCCATCCTCCCCCCTCTGCCCCCCACCCAATCCTCCCCGGATTCTCCCCCCCACCCCGCACCAAAGTTGTAAAGTTTGTTCGACATAACAATTTGTACATCTCATTGTTGCAATGTGTCCACCTGTATCCCTATTTAAACGATTTGTTTTTCCCCTTTCCCTCCACAAATTATACCAACATGAAATACAGTGAACGCAGGGGTTATACTGTGGGGGAGGGACATACAAAGCAACAAAGAAATAATCTTATAAATGCGTTAGAAACAATCGCATGAAAGAAAAATCAACATTTGAATACATATCTTAGGGTTCATTTCCCTAACATCACCTTATCTGACCTTTTCTGCTTGACTCAGATATTGTATTGTTATTTTTGAGATAAGGTCTCACTTTATGCCTAGGCTGGCCTGTGTTGTATTCCTCCCACTGTGCTTCTGCGTATTCCTGGGGATGAAAGGTATGTACGACTGCATCTAGTCGTTATGCTTTCCCTGTAGCTGGGGCAACAGAAGAGTGCCACTGTTCCCAGCCTTTGATGAGCATGGAGTCTTGGCAACTTTTATGCCCAGGTGAATTTTAAATCATCACCACCTGATTTCCACCTCCCAAGTAGCTAGGATTACAGGCTTGAGCCGCCATCATGACATCATGGCACTTTATGTTGGCATTTGCTCTTCTATGTGCCCTAGGAAATTCTCTTGTGTCTTTCTCAAGACAGTCTCCCTGCTGCCATTCTTACCCTTTATCTTGGAACCAGTGCAAACTATCAGGTGGTCTTCTGTATCACTTCTGTGACTGTTGCCTACGTCTCTATTGCATGAAAATAACATCAACACCAATGCAACTCTTCCAGTGGGACTGAGGGAAGGATGGTATCTCATGGGGCACTACCTAAAGTGTCCCTGCACTTGCTAGGCAGGTGTTCTCCTCCTCGAGTCATACTTTCAGCCCTTTTCGCTTTAGTTTTTAGATAGAGTCTGATGTTTTAGCCCCAAAGCCCATTGTTTTAAAGCATGGTCTTCCTACCCATGCCCCCTATCTATGGGCAGGCCAATGAGGGGCCTTTGCCAAAGGTATGGACAGAGTGTGAAGAGTAGGATTTACACACACACACACACACACACACACACACAGCTCCTTACCTTGTGAATGGAGCTGAGATTGGGAAGCATGTTTCCCATATTGCCAAACTTTGGTGAAAAAACCTGGAGTACAAGACTTCTGTGCAAATCTGGTCTTCTTGGCCATTGGGAAGGCCTGTATGTCAAAGTAAGAGAACAGAATGTACTTACCATTTTGTTAGCTGGATTTGTTTTAAATATTTTAAATATGTAGCTATGTCTTGACTTTTCTTCTTATCCAGACCTTGAAGATGTTAGGAGTGGTTCCTTTACTACCCCATTCCCAGAACCATGTTCTAAACCAAGTTATACACACTACAACTCCCCCACCCCAGCTAATTTCTCTCACAGACATTTTATATGTGATCGGTGAATTAAAAATAATTCTAAAATGTATAGTTCTTAAAAATTAAAAAAACATTAATGACGTGTTAAAATTATATGAGATCCAAGCTCAAATTCAAGTATCTACAAGTAGTTTTATTGGAACATATGTACGCTTATTCACCTAAGGATTATGCCTGGCTGTTTTCTCTACAACTACAAATGAATAATTGAAACAGAAGTTGTACAGCATGCCAAGACTAAGGTGTTCTCTCTCTGGCCCTTGAAGAAAAAGTCAGTAGACTTTAGGCCCCTACTAAAGTAGCAGACAGGCCAGAAGAAGGGAGGAATCTAGCAGCTCTCACACTGGCTGCACAAGAGAATCACCTGTTGAGTTTCCATCTAGACCAGTCTACCCTCCATCTTTCTAGAATGTTGGCCAGTGGGTATGTGGGGAAGGAGTAGGAGTTGGTAGGTGTGGAAATGTTTTAAAAATTCCCTGGTGATTCAAATGAGTCAGGTGTTAAGAACCATGAGGCTATGGGAATGAAATACATGAGGCTCTGGATGAATCTTTCAAGTGTCAGTTCCTGGAGGTGGGTCTTGTTTTTTCCCCAAGGTTCTCAATGGGTTATAGCCTTTCTCTGGGGATAAAGATACTGTTACCAGATTTGGCTGAAGAAGAGGGGAAAGTAAGAATAATTGTTTCTACCTGTAATATGATGGATAAAGCTCAGCTTTATTATAACTGAACTCTTGAACTGCTGGTTCAGATGAGTCCCTGGATTTCCCCGACACCATGAATCTGCCAGGTTGGCACACTTGGGGCTGGATAGCTAACATCTGTCAGATCACTTCTCAGGAGATACCCCAACAGAGAACTCTTACCCCATCTTTGCAGTGTGCCTTCCATAATTATTGGTGGTCTCGCAGGGAAAGAATAAAAAAGACAACTCTATCGGAATCCCATTCTCCACTAGCACAGTCAGCAACATTGGCAGAGGATGGCTTCAGGGCTGCAAGGCTGCTCGGAGCTATTATTGTGCTGGGCTCTTTCTCAGCATGACTCAACGCAGACAATATAGCACACCGAGAGCGTGGGGGATGAACAGTAAATACGAGGCCTTGGATTTTTTTTTAATCTTGTCAGTTTTCCCCTGATTTGTGTCCTTTATACTAGCCCCCTCTCCTATATAAGCTTCTCAAAGCTAATGCCCATAACGCCACCACCCACTGGTAGCAGCAGGCTTCTGGGCCACTGTGAGGCTCTCATTGCAGAGATTTACAATGCCCGCCATTATTCAGCAACTGTACGTGTTAACCCAGTGGCACAAGGTTGCTCCAACACCTTCCCCTCTGGTTTTTCTTTGCTCTGGGGGCCGATAGCAACTCCAGGAGTGCCGCCCTCCTGACTCCAGCTGCTTCCCTCAGCCCGCTCCCATCACACCCTCCAACCCACCAGTGCAGGAAGAGCCCTGCTGAAAAAGACTGTAACAGTGGGCAATTATGAAATTGAGAGGATGCTTGACATCTGTACTGTCACGTTTAAAAAGTTAAAAATATTTCTCAAAGGCATTTCTTTGGTCTCCTATAGATTCCAGCCCTCCATCCCCTTTCTTTTATTAAGAGTGCATGTGATTAAATCATTATAGACACACAGTAAAGCTCTAAAATGTGAGCTAGCCGCCGAGGCTGCTGGGAGTGACCTCAACAAATGGTACATAGCTGCTTGGAAGTAAAATAAGGTTATATATTTTGCTCCCTGAAACCACCACCCTGGGCTGGGTGTGGTAGTTCAAGCCTATAATCCTAGCTACTTGCAGGGTTGGAGATGGGGAATCAGGGTTTGAGGCCAGCCCAGGCAAAAAAGAAGTTCCCTAGACTCTATTTTTAATCAATGGCAGGGTGTGGTGCCACATACCATTATCCCAGCTCAGGTGAAGCACAATGGTTGGGTACAATGATGTGCACCTGTCATCCCCAGCAGCACAGGTAGCACAAGTAGAAGATTTGCATCCCATACCAGTCCAGGTTAAAAGCAAATAACCAATACAAAAGAAAGGGGGAGGGTTTGGAGGCATGGCTCAAGTGGTCGAGGGCAAGCTCAAAGATTTTAATTCAATCTTATGTACCACAATAAACCAAAAAGCAAACGACACCCCAAATCCAACAACCATGAAACTCAAAAAACCAGCCCACCCACCAGATTCCTGGAGCATCACTCTTTTGACTTTTTAAATTATATTCAGTGCTTAGGATTCCCATTCAAGTAATAAATGTGCACATTATCACTATGATGGATACTGGGAAGTCCACCTGTGTGCAGTCTCCTGTTCTAGAATCTGGCGGCGGTGGCAGTGACTGTGTAAAGATGCATTTGCCCTGAGCACCGGCAGCCCAGTGCTTTAGTGGAAAAGCAGGAGCGGCTGGAGGTGGAGACCTGCCAGCTGTACTGGAACTTGCCCTGCCTGGGAGCATTCAGGCAGGTCTACCTCTGTGGGAGAGGATGCTGCTTTGCGAAGGGTTCACAAACAGAAGCCCCAGAGGTTATAGAAGAGCAAAGGTAGCAAAATCAGCTGCTGCTCATGGGTAAGCAATCTGGCTAGGCAAAAACCAGGTTTCCTGGAATTAAAAAAAAATCCAATATAGACTCACAAACACTCAAAACACTAAATATACTCTGCAGATTGATGGCCATATTTGGCATAAACCTTAGTAATTTGTTAAATTATGGGCGTGTGGCAGGGATGTTTGGAATTATGAGACAGTTGACAAGAAGGTAGTGACTGAAGCAGGACCAGACTTCCAAGCCAGCAGTACCAGTCCACTGTGGGGTTTTGACAGTGCCCTGCCTGTTCAGGGCACATGCAACCATGGGTGTGTTTGGGGAGGTGTACTGAGCTCAGTAAGAAACAGTGAAGCTATTTCCCAGAGCATCTGTATGTGAAGCTTTGATCAAATGTAAAGCATTCAATGGAGTGGAATCTACAGAGAGTAGATAAAAGATAAATGGGACCGTCATGGAAAAGACCAGATAGGCTCCAGCTCATCAGAGATGAATAGACCCTGTGGTGATCATGAGCACAGAGCCAGAGAGTAACCTGCAGCTCACAGATTCATTTTGCATGGCCCCCACTCCTTTCCACATAGTGTGTTTGCCTTTGGTGACAAAGAATTTTAAGACAATGTTTCTTTATTACGGGAGATAGTCTTTTGGGCACTCATGAAGGTATATCAAGATGTATGGAGAATCTTCTATACTTTATTCCATATCATGTTACAATAAAACAAGTGACAGCTGACAAACCGTTACATCCTTCATAATACAGACAAATTACAAGTGGTAACAAATATGCAACGCATAGTATTCCATTCTCCTTACTAGGTGTCCTTTTGAAGTATAATAGTTTTCTGAATGATGCTAGCACATTTCGTAGGTACCAACCTCATTAGAAAGTACACATCTCAGTGCATCATACACACAAAAAAGACAATAAAAGGGAAAAGTCCACTTCCAAACAAAGAGTGTAGATTTCATATATGCTGCTATGAGAAGGGGAATGGCAATAGGTAATTGCTTATTTTATTTGAGATTTGAAAGGTTTTATTCTGATGTATGAGAAAATTGCGAGGCAGTAACATACAGTTTCCTCTGCCTACAAGCCAGTAAAGGAGATGGACGTTACACACAGTAATGCAGCATATTCCTATGTATAAGGGGCAGGCAACAATCTACCCCAGTATGTACAGCCTAAACATCCTCTTATATAACAAAGATTACAAACCCAGTAATATTCACAGATGAGAATCTTATATGAACGCATACCTAGGGTGCTGATTATATCGGCTGTCCTATACACACCGAGGAAGGATACTGAGCCTTGATCTCTGTGAAGCCTTGGAGGCTCCTTTGCAAAGTCCTCTGATCATTCTTGGAAGGGAGAAGTAGCTTCTAACCCATGCATCATAGGTAGACAGCCACCCCAGCTCTCTGCCCTCTGTATTTTCATTGAACATCATTTCAATCAAACCAGTCCTTTAATGAAATGGAAATGAAGTCCTGGTATCTCCTTCCTGTGCAGTGAGGTCATGTGAATGCAGTCACCAGGCTAAGGTGTTCATGCTATTCTCACCAGCTGGTGGACCTCAAGCGACTCCTTCATACAAAAATAATCTCACAAACATTCCAGTGCTTCCCTTTTTCTGATACATTCCAGTATAATTAATCTGTTAATGAACATAGTCTGTATTGATTTTCATGACTCCCCTCAGGGAGCCTAGGAGTGAAAAGCAGGTGTGGGTGTGTGTGTGCGGGGGGAGGAGGAATGGGTCTGTGATTGCAAAAAGGAGAGGAAAGGAAGGGGCCAAACCAAACTTTGGGTTTCCTGTGTGGTTGGCAAGGATGGGGATCTGAAAACCTTTTAACTTGCTGGGAGCATGTCTCTGTCATAAGACTGATTCCCTATGCTACGTTTTATTTCCCAAGAGAAGTTGTCTACGAGAAGGGCATGATCTTATCACCCTCACATTCCTAATTGAAGTCTGTCAACCTTAAATAATTTCAAATTAGAAGCCTTATTAAATGGTAAGGTTTAATCAACAAACTCTTTGATTTAAACTTATAACACACAAGCATTACGCTTCTCCCCCAAATAAGTGAACAGTTCAAAATAAGGAACAGGGAAAAGGCCGTTTCTGATTACATATACAGTTCTTTCATATGTTTACTTCAAGAAATCCTAATTTAAGTATACTTTAAATCAAAATAGCTCTAAAGACTTCCATGGATTGGAATGTCTGGAAGAGGAATGAGAAAGATCCCTGGGTAGTAAAGAGTAAACATTCTAGTATTGGGTTTTGTTTGCTTCCTTTAAAAACCAACTAGTAAACAATTCCTTGCTTAGTATTCACGAGTTCATGATGAACAAGACATCTGGTTAGGATGGGTTTTGACCTGGAATATGCACTCACACCTCACTTCACTCCACAGACAGTACCATTTTATAGAGAGGTATTCTGGGTCCACTTCTCTATGTGTAATGGGTTTGACCATAGAGAAGTTTCCCCAGACCTGACTCTCAGAAAGCCCTTGTCGAGATGGATCATAATTCTTAGTTTTGATCCTAAAAGTGTATGGCATATTTCAAAATTGTCATTGCTCCTTCTTTCTAACAAATAGGAAAATGTGAAGCAATGGACACAAAGGTATTTCTGTGGGAACTGTGCATGCAGTAGATGAAGTCTTTAAACTGCTTCTTGACCCCAGTAACACCAGAATTTCCCCTGGGAGCCAGCCTCCACCAGGCAGCCCCTCTCCAGATCAAAAAGGTCAATACCAGTGCCTTTTCTGCAGTGCCACAGGCTCCTGATATCCTTAAACAAGAGAAGCTGGGGTCTCCTTTTTCCTATTTCTATCTTTAAAGCAAAATTCCTGCATTGTTTCTAAAACCTGCATTTGAACAGTTATTCCAGAAGACTGGTTTAAAGTCAGGTACCCAATGATATCTTCTAATCAGCTTGGAATGTTTTCTAAAAGTATAATCAAAGGTGTGTGTTGTAAGTGAGAAAACCTTTCACTCTGGATAAATTAATCCTTTGCGTTTAAGTATTAATCATCCAAGGCTGTGTTCAGAGTTCCTCTGAACTATGATCTGAATCTTTTATACCCAAGTTTTAAATATTCTGTTCCTCACTCTTTTCTCCATATAAAATACAAGGGGTTAACAGAGTAGAGATAGCAAAAAAAAAAAAAGATGTTGACAAGACGCAGAACCAATGTAAAAAGTTACCTCTATTTCTTGAGGTTGAAAACTATTCGGTATAGCCCTGTCTTTGTTGTTGATGCTTAGTATGTGTTTTCTTCATTTCCAAACTGCTCTGAAGACAGTTATGTTATTTGTGGCTTGAAAAGGCTAAGCAAGTTTCACTATCCTATACAAATGTGTGGTTATTTCCAAGAAACAAACAAAACAAAACACATTTTGCAAATTCTTCAAAAGGTAAGCGACAGGTGGGCCCCACAGTCTGGGGCCCTGCTGTCTAAGTCAGTCAGAGAACAGGGGTTTTGCTGCAGTGAAAAAGGTCCTTCCTTAGTGGTTACAAAATATGCACTGCTCTCAAAGAAAACACATATTTTTTTTTTTTGCCACTGTGTGGCTTTCAAGTACAGACATTACTGAAGAAGTGTGAACACCAAATGTGTTGTCTTAATGTATTTAAGACATGGGTGGTGAAAACATAAAAACCTTTACAGAGACACTGTGCTGCAGAGGGAAATCAAACAAAATCAAACACAAAAGACTGAAAAGAATACATGCCATGTATCAGTAAGCAAAGCTTAATCTTCACATAGTTCTTGGAAATCACAAGGTATCCAAATGCGTGCAAGGTTTTAAATGAATTGCAGAGAAAACAGGGTCTTGCCAGCTTCAATTTTCTTGTAAGTGAAATCCACCACAGGGAGCGCAGGGAAACCAATCCATGATTCCCTTCACATTATTGGCCACTTCATTAATGTTTTGTTTCTTTCCTGAATGATGACAACTTAATCCTGAAAGGAGGAAAAGAGAAAATGGTTACATTAAAAAGAAATCATTCATTTTCCCTAAATTACCCGCGACTTCAAAATTGGTCTGGCTAATGGGAGTCCACTGGGCTCTCCATAGCCACCCAAGAACATATATTTCAGGTAGAATGATTTTCTTAGTCCAATCAACAAATACTCTTCCTGTATTTTCTTCCTTTAAAATAGCTCAACTGGGGCTAACTACCTCTTGGATTATTTACAGAAAAATTCAGCAAGTTTCTTTTCGCAGATCATTAGTAGTAGTACAGGTCTTAACTTAAGTACTTGCAGCATCACATAGTCTTTAAAAGGGCAGATTGTGTTCACTTTAAGGAACATGGAATAGAAAATGGATCCCATCCTTGCTTTCACAAATTAGCTAGCTCTCTGTTGTTTTCTGGTTCCCTGTAATCAGTATTTTACTTTTGGCAGAATGAACATTGACTGGTAAGACTGAACTGGCAGCTTGTTCTCAATACCCTGCATCAGACTACATGCTTCCAATACTGTCTGCTTAAAACCTGGTATGATTTAAAGAGAAAGAAAGAATTCCTACCCCAACTCCTAACCCCCCTCCCCTGGTACATCTCTCTGTAATTCTTTTCAGCTCTAGCATCTTTGGTGGATTTTAGGATGGGAGAAGAATATCTATCCAGGTACAGTGTATGATTCCCAGCTTCAATGCACAGCTGAAGCATTGGACACCTTGGCTCCACTCTGTTCCAGAACCACTCACCACCTACCCTTAGAAGCTGGTTCCTGGTGACTGACACCAGGCCAGGCCTTCCTATCTCCATGTCTAGGGTGATTCTGAGCCTGGCCCAAAGGGTTTTGGCTAATTTTGGAACCCTCATGATGCTGTGGTCCCACAGCTGTAGCACCATGGACACTGCCCCACTTGGCAGCAACTCAGTGATACCTTGACCTGGAGAGCAAAAAGTTCGACTCTTACTCTTGAAAACCATTAACATGGCACTGCCCACTTACTACTCATCTCTTCTACTTACTCTGATGATCTTTCAGAATGTGTACTTTCTGCTCAGTTTCCTATTATTAGGCTGAAGTTCATGACATAAAATTAACTATTCCATGGGGCTGGGAAGGTGGCTCAGTGGTAGAGCACTTGCCTTGCATGCCTGAGGCCCTGGGTTTGATTCCTCAGCACCATATAAGCAAAAAGAAAAAAGCTGGAAGTGGTGCTGTGACTCAAGTGGTAGAGCGCTAGCCTTGAGCTGAAGAGCTGAGGGACAGCACCCAGGCCCAGAGTTCAGGCCCCACGACCGTACCCTCGCAAAAAAGTTAACTATTCCAAAGTGTATATTTTATTGGCATTGGGCATCATGATGTTGCACAGCTATTTTTCCAAACATATTTGGGGCATTTCTAGTTCCAAAACATTTTACCATTCCTCAAAGAGAATTCACACCCTTTAAGCCAGCATGCCCCTTCTTTCCTTCTCACATTATTTGGCAATATATTCTGGATACCATATAAATGGGATCAGAAAATATGATGGGGATCTCATTGCTTTCAATTAGCATAACATTTAAAAATGCATTCATGTTTTAGTATGTATTGATACGTCATTATTTTATTTGGGTGAAACTCATTTTGCTTATTCATCCGTTAATGTATATTTCAGTTGTATTTCTGGGTCTTTATTAAGAAAGTTTCAACCTGTGCCAAGGAGTCCTATTCCTTCCTGTAATATTTTCAGGGTGTCATCTGCTTTTACCTCGAGGTCTTTGATCCATTTGGAATTGATTCTGGTGCAAAGTGATATATAAGGATCTGACTTCAGTTTTCTATATATGTATAGACAATCCTGCCAGTACTTTGTTGAAGAGGCTGTCTTTCTTCCATCCTGGGTTTTTTTTTTTGGTTGTTTTTTTTTTTTTTTGGCTCCTTTATCAAAGATTAGGTGGCTGTAGACCTGCAAGTTCATTTCAGGGTCTTCAATTTTATTCCATTGGTCCTCAGGCCTGTTCTTGTGCCAGTACCAAACTATTTTTATTACTATGGTTTGTGAAGAAGGCTATTAAGGTCATACCTGGACAAGTGTTCATTCCAATTTCTGTTTTTAGTTCTTTTGGTTATGTACCTAAGGAACAGAGTTTCTGGGTCATATATTAGTTCTTTATGGAGCAGCTGCCATACTGTTTTTTGAAGTGGATGTAACATTTTGCACTCTTACCAGTAATGAAGAAGAGGTCCAATTTCTCTACATCCTTGCCAATATTTATTTTCTGTTTTTTAAAATTATAGTTTTCTTTGTGTGGAAAACTGGTTTGCATTTCATTTTTATTATTTTCATTTCCTTAATGATTAATGATGTTGAACACCTTTCCATGTCCTTATTTTCTATATGAATATCTTCTTTAGGGAATTATCTATTCAAGTCCATTGCTTATTTTAAAATTAGGTTATCTTTTTGTTGGTGTAGGAGTTCTTTATGAATAATGGATATTAATCCCCTATCACATAAGTAAGAATTTATAATAAATCCCTTATTTGTAAATCATAATTTAAAGATATTTTCTTCTGTTCCATAGATTGCCTCGATGAAGTCTAAGTTTAGATGTTTTGCTTTAGTTGCTTGTTCTTTTGGTATCATATTTAAAAAAATATAAAAGTATCATACTTAAAAAAATCCAAGGTTATAAAGACTTCCTCCTAAGTTTCTTTCTATGACTCTTACAATTTTAGCTCCCACAGTTAAATCTTTCATATATTTTGCATTAACTTCTGAATACACTATGAGCTAGGAATACCTTCTATTTTTCTGAGTTATGTCCTTTGATGAGGTAAAATATAAACAAGAGCCTTTTTGAAAAAGGCCAGAAAGTAGAATCAGTACTACCAAGGTACACATTTTTATCAAAAAGATAAAATCATCCATCTCATCTAACGTAGTTTAAACAGATGTTGAGATTCTGCTTTTCCCAGAGGCTTGCTTATTCTAGAGAAAGGAATCATGGGTTTTGTTTTTTAACTTGACATCTGCTTGCCTAGGAATAAACAAGCAAATGACATAGTTTGTGCTTGACTCCCCTCCACTCTTCCATTGTAATCACCAGAATGGAGGCCTGGTGCCCAAACTGACCTCCTGAACTTGAGACTTTATTTAGTCCCCCTTGACACACTTCCTCCCAAGAAGGAAGTAAAGGTGCAGCTGCTATCATGATGTTGATTAAGCTTGGTGCTGTTATCCAATATGTCTGCAAGGGCACAGCTCAGGAATGGCTAGGTTATGAATGAATAAGAAGTGAAAAAGATAGACTCTGAAGCTATCTTCAGAGTGGAAGGTTACTCAAGTGTAGAGTTCCCTTATGGCACATTCACTGAGAGAATATGCTATGCCTGGGTTCTTGTTTTTTGCTGAAATAACTGGTACAATGCAGCCATTTCAGCAGCAGTAGCCAACTACTGTGCTGGGCACAAAGTGCAGCATGTATATACACACCACCAGTGAAAAATGCTGGGTATAATTAATATCCTTTTGTAGGACAAAATTACCTTTTTTCTTTTTCCATTCTATGATGTTAGTTTTGAAATGAATACTTTGTTTTCATGTACCATTAAGCCAATGTCAATACAATAGCACTTTATAGGCCTACTGAGTTCATTAAAGAATTCAATGTTTTGGTAACTGATAATATTTGCCTCTGTCTTTGTCTTGCCTCTTTTTTTTGACTACCATTACTAGAAATATTACATATACCCCACTTAGGATGCAAACAGAATTGGACAATATGGGATTATACATATGAACAGTAACTAGATACTAAATGGTGAATGTAGTGATCATTACAAGTCTGTTACTTAATAAAAGAAAGCCAAGAATAAGAAAATAAAGGAGGTGTCATCTCCTCTGCCTGATGCTTCTCAGACCATGGGACGTCTCTTCTCTTTTGTTGGGCAGCATTAGATTTGATTTGTAATGAGTGTACATAGTTCACAGGTCAGTTTACTGCGAGGAAAATCTTTAGAAATCTAAATGCAATCATGCATTTGATGATGGAGATTTAGGTGGAAGAAAAAGAAAAGTATGCTACTACTATAGGGAAGTCAAACATGATATAAATTTAAATCATTACTTACACTTCATTGATAATTCAACTATAGTATATGCATAATATTAATCAACAGTGAATATGATCTATAAGCTCAACCATGGACACATCTGCTCATAGGTATATGTCAGAAGATTAATGGATGCCATTTTTATCTTCCTTTTTGCTTTTACAATGTTCTTTCTCTAGAAATGAATGTTTTAAGCAAGAAATTGGAATCAATTGATAAAATCCTTATTCAGAAATATCTACATAAGGCTTCTCAGCTATAAATATTAATTAATTGGATCGCTAGTACCCATAATGCAACTTTGTTCTGACCCATGTGCCCTATGAACTAGATATTTTTTTGGATTCAATTTTCTTAAAACCAACTGTCAGCCTCATGTGATGGGGGAGATGAAAAATGAAAATGAGCAGTCCTGCTGTGCAGGTGGGTGACCTGTGGGAGAGAGTCTGCCTGGCAGGATTTTTACACGAGCCATCAGACACAGACCAATTGATTAGATCATCTCACACCCGCCACCAACTAGGCTCAAGAGACTAATTAGAGAGAGTACTGCCTGCGCAGGCACCCCATTGACACCTAATTTGCTCAGCCAAAGCCTTTGGGGAAAATGTATTATCTCTGCAGCTACACTTCATGCATTTCTGATTTGAGGCATAAGCAAGGAGTGCTTCATCACTCTTTTGAGCAAACAGAATGCAGAAGCCCTTAAGTGCTAAATGCAAGCACAGACTCAGATTAGGAATGGACCAAGCTCTTCCTCATTCCCTCTTTGCTCCCCAATAACTCCTTCTGTGTACATATACATATCCCTACATGTATGTACATGATTTACTGCTAGAGGGACAGCACAGCCGAGAACCCATCTCAAGGTGCTCTGTCCGATGTGATCACACGTTCTATAT